GTACCATGGTCACACAGATGCTCAGGCACCTATTTCCCAGCTGTCACAGGTGCTCACACCCCTCTACTCGGTCTCTCTGGGGTCAGTTTCAAGATCCAGGCACTAGATCTCCCCCGTACCTCCAGCAAGCTCCGCCCACTGTCACGGGCACCCCTGTGACAACTGGCTTCTGGGAGGGTGGTTCTGTTCAAGAGTGGCATTAACTGTCACATTTCACAGATGATGACCTAGAGATAGAGAGGTGAGGCAGCTTGTCCCAGGTCTCCCAGCTGAAAAGTGGCAGAGTGGGGATAAAAGGACCTGCCTCCTGCCTCTCTGCGTGGTGTTAGGGGAGCAGTGGTGGCGCACGCATAGACCAGCGCCCTGTCTTTTGTGCCTGGGGTTTCAGGACCAAGTATCAGAAGTGCATATAAGGTCACAGGCTCCAGCTTGGGCCTGCAGCCAGCAAGCCTCTCCCCCACTGAGCCCGCAGGACCACGGTGCCTGCACACTGCTCTGCTCCATGAAGTGCGTCCCCTGCGTCTCCTGCAGAGCTGTGCCCACATCGGAGCCCACTTCGCAGAAGCGCGCTTTCCATTTTCAGCTTCACTACACCCAAAGTGCAGTGCATTCATTTGCAGGCAGGCCTGGGATGACCTAATTAGTGCTATTTGCAAATGCATCCCCCTCTCTCTTCTCACAACATCTCCTAAGAAACCAACAAGTCTCCAGCTTGGAGACCCCAGGCCTCCTTCCCTGAAGTGCCGTGGTCCTGGCCCCCGCAGGCATGCCTTGCCTTGGAAGGCTGCTGTCTCATGCACAAGCGGGGCCCACCCCAGCACCTCCTGCTGCCCTGCCCTGCCCAGACACGCAGTTCAAGCACCAGGTGGCCCGTTCCTCCAGCCCAAGCGCTCTTCCCACCATAGAAAGAGGTGTCTCGTTTCTTTGCCTTACATGGGCTCTGGAGAGCTCAGGGGTGCTTTCTGGGGCTTTTAGGAGCCCCTGCCTCCTCTATGAGCCTGCAGGCCACCCCTCCAGCTGCTCTCCCCTCCCTGGTGTCTTGGTAGTTGTCCACCTTTCTCATGCCTTGTTGCTAAATGAATTTTGCAAGCCAGTGGAGACGGATGTACAGGCTTCGTGGCCACCTTCCCAGCTAGCTCCGTTTGCTACTCCTGAGTCTGTCACTGTGCTCCTCCTCAGGAGCTGGGACCCGGGAACATCTGCCCTTGACAGAGGACTCTGGTGTGGCATGGCCAGTGGACCGTGTGCCCTCTGAGACATCACTGGCCACCCGCACTGCCCACCCCAGGAACCATAGCTTCTGGGTGGCTGCTGGAAAGGGAGAAGATCCGATTTGGGTGACCCGAGCCCTGGGGTGGTTACCCCAGCACACCATGGCCTTGGGTGTTTGAAAATGACATGTAGTCGTAAGCTCCTCTGTCCGGGCAATTGCATGTGGAAGGATGGGCCCTGCTGGGCTCCTTCTCTGCGTGCCACTGCTCTGCTCCCATCCTTGGGCAGCACCCAGGGCTGTGGCAGGAGCACACTGACCTGGCTGTGTCTGCTCAGATCTGCAGCCTCATGAGAGGGGGCATTGCGGAGAGAGGCGGGGTCCGCGTTGGCCATCGCATCATCGAGATCAACGGGCAGAGCGTGGTGGCCACGGCCCATGAGAAGATCGTCCAGGCTCTGTCCAACTCGGTCGGGGAGGTAAGACCGCACTCTCCCCTGCACGCCTTTCGGTGTTGGAGCCAAAGTCCCGCCCTTTTTCCACCTCTCACCTGGTCTGGTCTCAGATGTGCTTGGGAAAGCCATTGGGCCCACTCGGGGAAACCCCCTTCTTAGGCTGCCCTGCCCCTCCTGGACCTCAGGCCAGCCTCTGTTTACTGGATCATGTTTTGCCCCCCCGGATCTCCACAAGCTGGCTCTTCTCTGGGGGCCACCAGCTGAGCTGGCCAGCTTGTGACAGGGATGAACAGGGTGGCAGGCTGTGCCAGGCTGTTCCTCATGCTCTGCTGAGCCGTGAAGTGGGCGTGTCTGCAGACAGGAGGGCAGAGGCCGCAGGCAGGCTCCCCTGCACTGTCCCTGGGCTGAGTCTTGCATGCCCAATCGAGGACCCCAGTCTACAGGCCTAACCCTGCAGGACCTGAGACTCTGCCCCCCATGTCGGGGCTGTGCCCTGCCTGCGCCTGCCCCCCAAAGCAAGGCTTCGGCAGCTTTTAACCACCCCCCTCATTCTTTCTGCTGTCTTTTCCCTGACAGGAGGAAGGGGTTGAAGGTCCTGGGGGACAGCTGTCCTTGAGGACAAATGAATAGTGACAGGGTGAGGTGAGGAGCAAGAGGCCAGTGTGGGCAATGCCACCATGAACAGGAAGGAGGCCTTCCATGTGAGGAGGGAGATAGAGAGAGAGAGAGAGAGAGACAGAGACAGAGACAGAGACAGAGACAGAGACAGAGACAGAGGCAGAAAGTGGGAGGGAGGGAGGAGAGAGAGGGAGAGGTTGGGTGAGGGATGTAGGAGTGCATGGGGTGAGTGTGAATGTGAGGGTGTGATGGGGATGTGGGGTGTGTGAATGTGTGGACTGTGTGTGGCAGTGTGTGAGTGCAGGAATGGGAGTGTGGAAGTATGTGGGTGCGTGTGTATGACCGGGAGTACGTGTGTATATAAGAGTAGCTGTGAGTGTAGGTGCTTGTGTGGACAGGACTGTGGAAGGGAGGGTGGGAGCATGGTGGTCTGTGTGGTTGTGTGTGTGTGTAGCAGGGGTGCAGCGCTCTCCAGGCGGCCATGGGGGGAGGAGGCCCCAGCCTCACCCCTCCTGTCCGGGGTGGGGGCTGCGCACTACTTCCTGAGGAGGGGCTCAGTTTGAGCAGCGCAGCTCTGCAGGCCATAGCGCAAGCCTGGTACTTTGGAAAACCTGCCAGAGGTCGGAGAGAGGCCCAAGTCCTCTGGGACTGGTGGTGGCAATGGCCGACTCTGAGAAGCAGGGCCCTGGGGCGGTGCTGTTAGCTTCCTCTTACGCATGGCTTCCAAGAAAGGCAAATCCAGTTTTCCTAAGTAGACACTTTCGGAAATGGCCACCCCCACAGGAGCAGTCAGCCTCACACCTACAGAGAACTCCGTGCAGTGGGAGGCGGGGCTGAGAGCCCAGGAAGTGGTTCTAACTCTTCAGATCTGAGGTGAATTGTTATTCATGGCAGGCCTGCAGGCCATGAGGGTGTTAGAACCCTGCCTGCCAGTGGGGCTCGGAGATTAGTGCTGCCTACGTTTTTCCACCATGCCCGACCACATTTGAAAAATTAGTCACTGATAAACAAGTCGTGACGTTGAGAGGAGACTTGGGGATGGGCTTCAGATGGAGGAATGACAGAAAAAGAGATCTTTAGAAGGAAGAAGCTGCCACAGGTGATGGAGGAGCAGAAGTCTCAGTGGGAGGAGCAAATCCTGATGGGGCAGAACAGCCCTGCAGTGTTGGCCTGTCTGGGTTGGTCACACGGGGACGAACACCCTCTTGTCTAAGGAAAGACAGGCCGAGAGGCCAGCTGGGCACTGGATGCTGGACAGGCCAGGAGGCAGTGCAGGCCAGTCTCCCAGAGCCCCAGCCCGCCAGAAGGGCCAGCCCCGGGCCTGAACGCAACATGGGCTCATGGGCGGCGCCACAGTAGCACCTGAGAGGAGAGAACCGCGGCAGCGGCACCCGCTGCTGTTTGTCCAAGGCTTCCACCCTGGGCATGTCTCCGTCCTGGTGCCCCCAGAGAGGGACTGTGGAGCTGGTCTCTCTGGGAACAGTCATACGCCTTGCTGGCTGTAGACCTAGACCACTTGGAGTCAGGGAGGTAGGGGAGGCTGCAGAGAGGTGTGTGGCAAGCGACCCCCCAAGGAAAGGGGTCTCCAGGCTTCCTGCGCCTTGAGCCAGTTCCTAGCCCCTGAACACTGGCTTTAGCCAGCTTCAGTTTTGTGGAAAGGGGTGTGTGTCCTCTCTTGGGGACACAGTGCACACCTCAAGGGTTCTGGAGGAAGCCCCCAGGATGACCTCAGCTAACTGGCAAACTGAAGACACCAATGAGTCTGAGTTCTTACCATCACCTCCTCCATGTCAGCTTGAGCTGGAAGGTGTATCAAGCCCTGTAGACCAGGCTGTGGACCCGAGTCAGTGCCACCACCCGTTCTTTCTGTCTGGGAGACTGGAGTTCTAAGCAAGCTGCTCTTCTGGGTCTGGGCCTCTGTTGCTGGTTTTCGTTGATGCCACTGAGGGGAAGGAGGGCAGAAGGTGGTAGGAACACGCAGGCCAGCCGAAGGGCGGCTCAGCTTCCTGTCTCTGTTGACAGATTCACATGAAGACCATGCCTGCCGCCATGTTCAGGCTCCTCACGGGCCAGGAGACCCCGCTGTACATCTAGGCCCACCCAGCCTCTGCCATGGAGCCGGGGATGCCAGGCAGGCCTGCCTGCCCAGAGTCGGATGCCAGAACAAAGCCCTGACCCCCGACCCTGCAGCCCAACCAAGGACACTGGCTCGCCCAAAGGGCATGCCCTCGCCACCCAATTTGGAGTCTCTTTGTTTGTTTTTTGTTCAGGAGGGTTGCCAGAAAGGGGTCTGTCTTTATCACCAGAGCGTCGCAGGAACAAACCTTTGTAAATCGTTCAAGTATTTTGCCACCTTGGGAACTGTTTCTCATTATAACTGACAAAGGGTGTTTGTGTGTCCCTCTGTGTGGTGTAGAGTGTGTCGCTCCTCCCTGAAGCTGTAGAGCGCAAATGTGGGTGCCCGCCCATGCGGCCGTGAAGGGAGCTCTGAGGGACACAGCTCTGGGCGGTGGCAGGCAGCGTGTACCCCCTGGTTGAGACACCCCAGGTTCTGCAGGGTCCCAGATGGACCCATACAGTTGACTCTGCCCCTGCTTCCCCCGGAGTGCGGGCGTGTCTAGCCCCCAGGTTGCAGCTTGTGCCGAAAGTGTGGGAACACGGGCAGATTGTATTTTCCTAGAAAGGAGATATTCTTGAGTTAAATAAAGATTCGTGGCCACAACATCAAAACTCCACATTTATTTAGAGAGTGTCACCACTTGGACTTCTATTTTGGCAAGCTGTTCTTTGGATCTGTGGGGCTTTCCAGAGGCCTGAGACCATGCCTGCTTCTCCTGTCCCAACCTGTGCTCTGCATCACCTGAGTCCCCGTGGACTCGCCTAGGAACCCGCCCTCCCCACCACTGCTCCACCACCGGGCCCCCATGGGTGGGCCACGCTGACGACGCTGCCAGGACACGGGCCGTGGCAAGGCGGCCCTTCCTCTTTATGGCCTATCCACATGTGTCACACTTCCCCTGCCCAAAACCTTGACCTCCGCCCTTCCTGAGGCCGCCAGCCGCAAGCGCTAATTCCCTGGCAAGCCAGGCGCCCCTGCGACGCGCAGTATTAGAATGTGTGTAGGGCACGGGACACAGCGTCTGGTTCAGTTCCCCCGAGACCCATGTTCACTGATGTCATTTTGTCTGGAAGTCCCTCTCTTTGGCCCAGGCCTTGAAGAATACACTGTGACTTAAGAAGCCTTACCACGCAGTAACTAAAGCTTTAGGATTACTGTCCGCGAGGAGTAACCTGTGTGTTGCATGCTGCTGACCGTAGGAAGACTTCGCACATATCTCTAATAAACCTGACATCCTGAAGAGACGATGCTCCTGCTGTGGTTGATGTGTTAGCCAAGGGTGCGCGTCCAAGCGGCCTCTGGGCGCTGCACCCCAGGCATGGCTCTGGCCCTGTGGCGACAGCCATCCCTCTCCCACTTCTGGGGCTTTGGGAGCCTGCACTCGTGAGATCCAGGTGGACGTGAGGTCGCCGGGGATAGCAAGTGGTGTCAGCGGTCCTGACAGTCACCAGAGCAGCTCCGCGTTATTATGCCACTGCCCCCTGGCTTCAGGCTGCTGGTTAACTAATAAAGGAGACGTGGAAACTGGGGTTCCTCCAGATTTAAATTTAAGTCAGCTCTGGAAGGGGTGTGTGTGTGTGTGTGTGTGTGTGTGCGTGTGTGTAAGTGGGACCACCTTCACCACTCCACTCCTACCTGTGGGTCCTTTGAAGCCTGTCTGGAGTAAGTGGAGAAATATCAGGACTCAGCTTGCCCACGACTTTGGTTTCTCCATGACAAGGTTCTCATGGCGTAGTGCAGGTGTCCCCTGGCATAGGAAGGCCCTGAGATAAACCTGGGCTCTAGCTCCATGGCCAGAGAGGAAGGTTCCAGCCCTCTGCTAGCCTGAGGGCCTTGGCAGGACCCTCATCCTCGGCCTGATCATGGCTGTGCATACGTCACCCACCGGAGCGCCTTAGCAGGTGCTTTCATGGTCTAGGTTCTGGGCAGAGTGCAAAGCAAGCCAACTTGTTGATGTGTGGCTACCTGAAGAATCAGGCTGTGGGGACCTGGGCCATCAGGGTGGGCCATAAGATAAGGCTTCCACGATGAACTCCTCCACTAGGGCTTCTTCCAAAAAGGTTTCATGGTAAAGTCAATGATAAGTAATTGGGAAGACGCTCCATTAGGAAGGGCAGCAGGAGCCCCCCCATATGCCATGTGCTGAAGAATTTAAAGCAAAATAAAACTATTCACTTTGCTGAGAAACAAATACTGGGCGGCATGGCCCTTGCCCTTGGGAATGAGAAGAACCATCTCCTGGGCGGGGCAGCAGGCTAGAGGGGCCTCAGCTCAGGAAGACAAGGGGAGTGGGGTTCCTGGGTGCCCTGGTGAGGCGTCATGCACACCGGGAGGAAGGGCCCTGACTAGCAGGTGGTACGGGCCACGACTTCCGCTAAGACCCACATCGCAAACAGCACCTTGGAGCCACAGGCTGCTCTTGGCCCCAGAAGCCCAAGGAGGGTGCCCTGTTTGGGAGGTGCCCTGCAGGTCAGCCTGGCAGGGCCTGGAGTCTCGGAGGCTCCCTGCCAACATCCCCAGAGTGGAGCTGCTCCAGGGAGCAGAGGGAGCTCCACATGTGGGAGCCCCCCACTGAGCATCCACGGACAGGGAAACCAACCCAGGCCCTCCGGAACCCTACTATTGGCCAGTAGTACTCATAGCCCCTAAGCCAATTTCTGTCCCAATTAGACCTCCGAGACACAGAGACCAGAAATACTTTTTATTAAAACACCGATCATTATTAAAACACCTTGAGGTACATTAAATAAAACAACCTTTGCAGTTGTGCAAACAGGTCTCTGGTGGCTTGAAAACAATTTCCTATACATTCTGCCTCAGCAGCATCTGTGAGTTGAGAGGGGAAAGAAAAAGAACGTTGCAAACAAACCTTCATGGATCGCGACAAGCATTTCATTGCACTAAGTCCGTGTGAATGACGTCCTCGTTCGCCTGGGAGTTGGGGTCCCAAACTCAACCACCTCGGCACCCTCATGCCACCCCGCCCCGCTGGCCTGAGCCAGAGAGCAAGTCCTAGTGGTGCCAACTCCTTTATCTCATTCCCCAGGACCCAGTCACGCAGAATGGAAGAATAGCCTCAAATGCAGCCAGAGGCAGGGCCTTCACCCACCAAAACAGGAGGCAGAGAAGGGGCTTCCAGAGGGGAGGATCAGGCACACTGAGGAGGAAGTCCCCTTCCTGTGACTGCGAGTCCAGTGCTGCTTGGGGCCTGGGGGCTGCCAGTCAAGAGTCGGGGATGAGAAGCGAAGGGGAGCATCAAGCTGGCTGTTGCTGGTACCAGTGTCCCCTGGGGACCACTTCCTGGGAGTCTGGAGCTCAGACTGTCTCAGTGCCACATGGGTCCCCAAGGTCCTAGAAGGTGGACCACGGAGGGTCCATCATTCCTGACAGCCTTGCTTCTTTCTAGGAGGCAGAAGGTTCCAGCCTAGCGGTATACACCTAGGTGTTTCACCATACACAGAGTTCTTCTGCGAGCAGGCACACAGCTGAGCCCAAGAGGGTCATGGACAGAGCTTTCTTGAGAAATCCGGGGGCTGAAGCCTCCAGGCTGCAGCATCCATGGGGAGGGGGGACATAGCCTGACCTGAGAGCCCAAGATGGCGGATGATGAGGCCCTGGCACGCAGAGGCAGAGTGGGGTCACGCAGTCCCAGGCTGCCGGTCCAGCGGCCACTCCCCCACTCTGAACTGACATAGTAGAGCTGAATAGTGGGGTGAGGCCGGCCTCCACTTGGGTTGCAGCCTGGTCTGAGATTTGTGTGTGGGTTTAGCTCAGCCAGTAGCTTAACTCAGGGACACTGCTACAAGGATACCCCAAGCAAGTGCTCTCAAAGCTGGCTGTGGTCTGGCCCAGCTCAGATGAACATGAGCTCTGACCCCAAGGTCAAGGCGTGGAGATTGAGCTCTTCACTGCCTGTGGGCTCCGGGGAGACCTTCTGCAGAACCATCAGCTTTACAAGCAAAGGAACTTGCTTCTGGGGACTTCCAAAGCTATCACTTGAGAAAAATTAGAGACTAGATTTCCCAGTTTATAGCCTGCGTAAAGTGCTCATAAATGCGTCTCTAGTGTGTCTCTTGTGAAAAGGTAGGATTGCCGTCAAAAAGCCTGATTTACATTTTTTTCAGCTAACTCCAGGGAGACAATAACCAATGATAATAGGAAAGCACTGAAGGCACCAGCAACTGAACGTCACTGGGGAATTCCTGCGCCACACGTCCGCAGCTGAAGGCTGCCCCTTCTCAGCTTCCAGGCGGAGCCCTCCCCTCATGTTGGCTTCAAAGGAAATGAGGTGGGGTGGGCTAAGCATGAGGGGAGGGACAAAGGACAGGCACAGCCAGGCATGGTACAGCAGAGAGCTGCACCAGTCCCCAGCTGGCCACTGAACAATGGTGGACACGCTGTGATTCACCCCAGGATGCCTTATGGCAGGCCACAGGCTCTAGGCTGCTTTGTCCACAGTAAGGGACGCTGGCCACCGTTCCAGGGCTCTGCAGTCCATGTGCTAGAGGCCATTGTTTAGCATGGTCCAGGCACAAGTGTTTGTATCACGAGGTCCTTCTCGGTGTTAGGAAGATGCCAGAAACCCAGGGACTGAGGGAGGCCAGGAGAGTCAAAGGCACCCACACCGCGCCCCAGCTGGGCTTGCTTGCTTCTGCCTAACCAGCGCAGTGGCTGTTCCCATGGAAATAAAGGACGCCAAATCTGCACCCTCCGATGTCAGTGTGCTGCTGCCACCTGGCTGGGGGAGGGACAGCTCTAGGTCGCGAGGGACCTGCCAGCTTTAGCAGGAGGTGCACAGTCCCAGAGAAAACGGCCCTTTTCCCTGGACTTTGATCCAGGTCCTTTAGGTAAGAGCGAAGGGGAAATCCCCAGCCGAAAGTGTCTGCTCCTGTCCGAGGGAGGGAGGCAGAGGGGGAACCTGGGGAAGAGGGGTGGGGTGCCCCTAGTTGGAGGCCCTGCTGGATGGTGGGTTCCTCAGAGCCCTCATGACACCTGCCTTCTCCCGGAGGGGCTGGGCCACAGGGCCTCCCTGCTGTAGACCTGTTTGCACAGCAGCACTGTCGCCCTGGGGCTAAAGAGCTGGGCCTGGGCTGCCTCTGTGCTAAAATGATCTATTTCCTTTTAAAGGAAGTACCAGGTCAGAACGATAAGGTTTCATTTAGAGGGATGTAAACCACGAGGGAAAATGGCGCCGTTACTCATTGTTAGATGCCGTCCTGTAAGTGCAGGTGAAGGAGGATCCTCCCTTTGTGGCCCTGACATGGAAGATATGCAGTGTCTTTAGGTTACAGGAGTGTCACCTGCGGCTGCACTGGTATTCAGGTCGTGCTGGCCAGTTCAGGATGAACTTGTTCTCTAAGGACACCAGAGAGACATCTTCCTGGATCCCTGGAGTAGGTAGCAGGTGTAATCCCTAAGAAGACAACAGAATGGATCCGCCTCCAGAGCGACTAACAGCTCTGCTCCTGTGCTACCCCAGGAGCCTCCTGGGTGTTTCCCAGTGTCCACTGCCACGCCATGCTGAAAGCACCTCCCCATCTTCTGGTGACAAATGCCCATGCAAGGTGCCAGGCCTGTCGGCGTCCACGTCCACACCTGTAGCTGCTTCACAGCTGGTCCACGACACCAGCACCAAAGCTGGCCTCCTCCACAGGGCGGTCCTCAGAGGGGACCCCTGAGCGGATGGTGCCTACCACGTGCCGCACCTCAGGAGGGAGGGCACAGTGTGAGTGTTCCAAAAATTTAGCCACCAAAACCCTGGTGTCCATGTAGGCCTTGCTGTCCACTAATGAACGGGGCCGTTCTTTGGAGACCACCTGTAAGGTCTCAGGCTCTGTCTCTTGCTTGATTTTCCAGGCTTCAGGGTCCCTGGGGGGTGGGAGCTGGTGCTGACAGGCAGCCATGGCAGAGTGCGACACAGAAACTGAAAATCAAGGGAGAGATGCAGTTTGAAAACAGCTGGAGACCAAACTAAACCCAAGGTGGCTGGGAGGCTCTCCAGGACACACGGAGAGGCGTGCGGACGGCAGGCTTTCTGCCAGGTTTCTCGAGGTTGTAGGCGGCCACCTGGGGATGGCCCAGCTTTTTGTGTCCTGTCTCAGCCCAGAATTCTGGTTTTCACCTCGAAAGGGCTACAGCCGCTGGGAGCAGAAGGACTGAGGATGGGCACGGGGATAGATGCCAGGCGGGCTGGCGTAAAGGGTGGCACTGGGCTGGGACCTGCCTTCTGTTCACTTCCTGCTGGAATTTCTGAGCTAGCAGCCCTCTCAGGCTTCGCCACACCCGTGACCTTCGTCCCTCTGGGTGTATTTGCTTGTTGGGGCAGAACCAAGATCTGCCTTACGACCAGAGCTTTCGCCACCTCACCGGGTGCAGATAGCAGCCACCAACTGGGGTTCTGTCCCCAGTGCCCACCAAGCCAGGGGCTGGGATGTGGCTCTGCATCATCCAGAGAAAGAGCACCGGTCAGAGGGCACCTTGACGGTGGCCAGCTTCCTGCAGCTGGGTACCACAGAGCACACCGAGGCCCAGCTTGGCCCAAGCCTGTCCTAAGTCACATAAAGCAGAGGCATTCTGGACTCCAGAATGGCACTGTGCAAGGTCAGAATTAAACAGCCAGTGTCCAAAATGTTGGACCGGTCTACCCCTAACTACATCTCATTACCAAAGAAAAATAAACAGCCTTCTATACGGTGACTGCACTGTGGCCTCTGATTCGACTGCACAGAGTGAGCTCCTAGCGCTTGCATTCAGGTGACAGTGGGAGGAGTCACATTCCCACTTCATAGCAGGGGGATGTCAAAGCCTCATCCGTCCCCGAGTAGCCCAAGACAGTTTCATTTCAAGGTCCTGGCAACACAAAGTAGGGTGTGAAGAGGTGTCACCTGACCCACAGGAGAATTCAGTCAACATGCAAAAGAGGGGCAGCTCTCCCCACCTGCCTGTGGCTCAGTCGCACATTTTAGATGCCGGATAAGCGGAGCAAACTACCCTGCAGCTGGCCAGGACCCCATGGCTCAGGCAGTGTCCCAGTCCTGTCCCTGGGAGCTGTCACAGGCCTGTGCCTCTCCCCACTCCAAGGTCTGGATCAGAATGTCCTCCATCTTAGAGGGTTTCCAGGGCTCCCCC